ACTTTGTGATCATTATAAATCATTTGTGACGATTCAATGAATATCATGTTGGTTCTGATAATTTTCTCATTTATCCTCTGTATCCTATGTCTCATTTTCAGTAAGAAGGAATGCTGGAGACTAGAATATACCTCGTGTAATGCTCTTCAACATTAATTACTTCTTAACATCATAAAAAATTAAAATACATATATTTTTAAATATTGATAGACTAAAATAAAACATTGAGTGCCAGACAAAACATCTACTTAATCTTTATTCTATTTCTACTACATCCAATGTCCTGATACTGTTAGGATTATTCAAAATTTAAAATTGGGTAGAAATTTTATATTTTTTCAATAATAACTTGGTCAAAGTTGTCAAAATTTTTCTTCGAGAATCATATACTCTATGGTTGTAGGAATAGATATTTGAAAAATATTTATTGGAGTTTTCCTGAAAATGACAAATGACTACACCTCTGCCTCACTCCTTCCAAAGTTAGAACAATTGAGAAATAAGAACCAAGACTAAAGAAATGAAAATTAAATATACTTTTACTACTGATAAACTTGATTGATATCACAGCTTAGGTTGAAGATAAAGTTGCTTCCTTTATCCATTTCTGTCACTAAACTGAAATTACTCATATAGATGCAGTTAGAAAGGGACAGTTGTAGATGTTACCCAAGTGGTAGAACGCTTACCTCCTGACAGAGGTGAATGCGTGCATCCAGGAGAGCCTTCTCCAAAGATAGAGACTCAGAAGTCCCTAAGCTACTCATTCACATGTGCTTCCTTCTGTTAAGTTATGTGCCTCATGACTTGTCTTATATGGAAAAGCCAGAGAGATTTGGCATTAGGTAGAAACTAGAGCTGTTCTTCTCAACCTCTTCTTCTGGAGAATGGAAGTCAGCTGTCTTCTATAGAACACGGAGAGTAGAGGGTATATGTTTCTCCCTAGGAATTTTATGGTATTAATAGTGTTTTTAGTAAGTTCTTTAGATGTTTGAGCATGAATTTCTCTTAACAAGCTACATTTTAAGCCTTAATAATAACAGCTTTCTTTAATCAAAGATTTATTTATTTATACACCTTGCTAAGAATTCTGCATTCATTAGGTTACTCACTGTTTTTTTCACCTCTATCATCCCAGGACATAATATCACCATGATCATTTTTTCAGATTATGAAACCACTGCTCATTCAGGTCAGATAAGAAAATTGTCCAAAATTACACAATAACTAAATTGTTAATCCCGACTCCTGTTATTCTGATTCCAAATTCAATTTTCTTAAACACCGTAGCATCTACTCTGCTCCACACTGGTCTAACATCACCAATAAAACTCTGAAGTACCATATTAATAATTGTTTTAAATGAGGAAAAAAAGAAAAAGATATGTGAGCAAATATTATTCACAATCTTCGAAAATTCCCAATTTTTAAAATATAATGATAGTAGCTTATTGATAAAGAGTGAGATGATTTGGCAAACTTTTAAACAGTCTTTAAAGCTCCCTGCATTTATTTAAAATGTAAACATTAAAATACATAATTGGTGGACAAAAAATGTATACACATACCATATATATCTATATCTTTTTCATTTTTCAGATAATCGCAAAATTACTGTAGGCTTTTTATGTTACAATATAAATTTTATTTTTTAAATATTCTTGGGAATTTGAAGACACGACATTCTTCTGAAGAATAGACTCAACATTAAAAGAATGATGTTCTTTTGAGGAGTCTATGAAAGTTACTAATATTTCTAGTCCAAAGGCAAGGATTACATAAGAAAAGACTTTGCTAATTAAAATACAGAGAAGATGACTGAAAGTCTTCATTTCTAACACTATTATTACAATTGTGTTAAGGAGTATAGAAACAATATACAATATTCCTTTTTCCCAGGAAATGTATCTGTATCTTGTGGCAAGAATCCTGGAGAGTGGCATAAGACACCCACTTATCTTTCTCATTATTTTCACTCTATCAATATTTAATGGTTCATTCTTAACTGACATATATTTGGAACTTAGAAACTACCAGAAAGGTGAGATATTAGATGACCACATAATTTTCCTAACTGTATTGTATACACACAAAGTTAAAACTCTCCTTAACCCCCTTGACATCTGCATTTAGGTCCCATGTATATCCTAGACCTTCATTTAGGTTCCGTGTATATCCTAGACCTGCATTTAGGTTCCATGTACATCCATATCTTAGATTATTATACCAAAGAGCAAAGTCACAAATTCCTAGTTGTAACAGCAAGGTATTGTGTTGTATTAGACAAAATCAGAGTCTAATTGCATGTCCTTTATTTATTTGTAACCATGCTACTGGTGAAATTTGCAAGAGTGATGAATAAAATTTAGGTGATTTGATGCACTTGCATGAAACTTAAATTGTATGATTCAGAAGTAAATGTTTAAAAATTATAATTTTCAGGGGAAAAATTCTAGACGATATAATTATTATTTTGATAAGTCTAGAATCACTAGACTCGTATTTTCTGCACTTATTGATTTTGTTTCTAGTGCCACATAATAAAAATTGGGTACTTAAAAGACTGCAGATTAGGATGCATTTTTAATTCCCTAGTAGGCCTCCTAAAATGTGAACAGATGGTAAACTCAAATCTTAATTGGAAAACTCACATTGTGAGAAATAAATTAGTAGGAAAATATTTGTGTTAAATACACTTAGAAATTGAATCATTTACATCATTTTTCTAAATATCAGTTTATGGAGACATCTTTAATATTAAATATGTTCTGGTTTTACATGAGCCTTTTTTAAAGAGCTAAGTTTATTTTATTTATAGAGAGAGAGATTGCTAAATAGCAAATGACATGGGTACAATGATATTTAAGGTGATCGCTTAATAATACTTAATATTCACCATAGGTTGGAGCTACCACTCCAATTCTTTTGTTCCCTAATGCCTAAAGGTAATAGCAAAGTATTTCTTTTCAGTATCATTGTGGGACAGAAGATGATCAAGTTTTATGGTACACATTCTACAGTCTCATTTCCATTAGCTCTGGAATTATTTCACTGATAAGAACTAACAGAAAAGATATAGGAGTGAAATTTATAACCCTCTTCTAAATCTTCATGATTCCTGTGAGCGGCAGCAGATCACTCTTGCCTTGGTTGACACGTACTACCACCATGATAAAAAGGCTATAATAATGCTGTTTTAATAAGAAAGATAGCAGTGAAAAAGGTGAAATTACCAGAGGCAAAGAAATAAATGAAAACAGGGGTAATAGAATGAAAGAAGATGGGATAAAGTACCATTTAGGGCATTAACAGAGAAGGATGATAGACAATATGTAAAACTTGTGCTAGGATTCTGAATTGGATTTTTGTAAATATCAGTTCCTGACTGCAGTATCCCAGTAACTAGTAAATGGGAACCTTGGTATTAAACAAAATGAGTACTTGGGAAAACAGAATATTTCCACCACAACTCTACCTTAACAAAGACATGTCAGGTAGGGTGAGGATGTAATAAGGAGAGTGGCTGCACAGAAAACTGTCATTGAGTATGGCTTTGGTGCTTGTGTCCTGAGTGGGTTCAGCTATGGTGTCTTAATACCTTATTGCTTCTAAACAAAATGCCCATTGTCAGAAGTCTACTAGGACAGAAGTAGTCTACAGATTTACTTTTTATTGTGGGGAAGTAAAAGCATCACATAATAATATGGAACATTCCTTAGTTCTCTGTTCAAAATACATAATAATGTCAACTCCAGAATTCAAGTCAGGGTTTTGAGCTAAAAGTATACAATGTAATAATGTTTCTTTAAAAGGTCATTGAACATTACAAGGCAAAAGTAGAAACAGCCATATTTGATTACGGTGGCTACTGCTATGACACCTTTAGTCACCCATGTTACTTTCTGAGACATTCAACACAATCAAAATCCATGGTAAAGTACACTATCTCTCAGCCCCAGGCAGTGCCCAGTTTCATTTCGCATTCATTCAAATACTCTTATGAATCTTAGCATTCTTGGAGATTATAGCAGATTTATTTCACAGATGAGAAAATTGAGATTATTTTACAGATAATCTTGGAGATTATAGTAGATTTATTTTACAGATAAGAAAATTTGAATAATTGTACAGTATCACATTCGTTGATTATAGGATGGGAACTAGAAAACAGACCCCATTGTCAACCCGCTCATATCTTAAAATTATTATGTGATTGAATGTTAAGGCTTGTTAAAATATAGCCTCTGCGGGGCAAGGAGTGCGTGTGTGTGTGTTTCCATGCTGTGTTCCATATGCTTAGACAGTGCCTGAAATGTAGAGATGCTTAATAAATACTAGTTCAAAGATTGTATGGAGGTTGATATTCAAGATGATAAGAACATTTTTTTGTATGTCAAAATTGAGATTGTTTACTAAAAAGAAAACACCATGAGATTAGTTTTCTTTTGTTTTTATATGGTGGCAATGTCTACAATCGCTGTTCTGGAAAAGCTTTAAAATATATGTATTACTGAATTAAACTATGGTCTTACAGATATTCTTAAGAATAAAACAGTTGAATATTTCTATGTCTGTTAAAACATTACTTATTACTGCAAAGTGAAGATTCTTGTGGAGCAAATTTGAGCAAGGACTAAAAATGTTCTCAACATGAGCAAGGTGACATACCTATCTAAAAGAAAATGAATGTTGCAATTACAGACCTCCAGCACACATTTATACACGTTAAAAGATCTTTTATCATTAATATGTTATCAGCAGGTCTTTTTCTTAAACAATTTAATTGGTAATAGCGTGGGCAAATTCAGTTGTTTTACTTCATAGAATGTGTAAATGAACAATTATAAGACAGTCCTGGAAATGAAGCATTGTGTTCCACCAAACCGATTACTTCAAGTCCAATCTTAGGCTTTTTTCCTCATTTACTTAACTACCTTGCCATTTATTCTCTCCTCAAACACGCACCTGTTATTTCTGTTAAGTTAAAAAGAAATGAGTTCGGTGGAAAAAAGTCAACTAGTTGTTTGGCAAGACAGAGACAAATAAAGTAATCAATTATGTGACAAATATATAACTTGTCTAATGCTAGTAGTGGGATAGATAGGTTATTTTGAGCTAACTTCTAACATTATTTATTTGGTTATGTAGACAATTATAATGTGTATGTTTTTGCATATCTAATTTAACCACCTCAAGTAATAGAAATTTAATGAAATACATCATCTAAACTTGGAGATTTTCAAATATTCGTTAAGATTTTAAAGCAATGCAAGTAACATTAAGAATACTCTGTTAGGCATATAAAAACAAAACAATATATGTTACAAAATAAACTCTGAGAAATTTATTTCAAAGTACTTTGAATATTTTTTAATTGTATAATACATTTCTTATATGTGCAGAATATATGCAAGTCCATATATTTTTCTTGGAGGCAAATATTAAAGAATTCAAATCATCAGTGTGTTTTACAGGTTTTTCTGTGATTTACCAGGGAATTCAACAACCACTTCAGTATTATTCTGGCAGTAAAATGGGAAATATGTGTCCAGGGAACATAAATTTACTGTGACTTTTATATTCAATTTCAATTGTTCTAGTGCTGTTGCTTCCATGTATCACACTGTGTAAGAACAATGGAAATTAACAGTATGTTGGGACTGCCAAATTCATTTCACACAACAGTAATCACAATAATAATCAAAATAATATATAATCACCCATGAGAATAAGCACAATTCCATGAATCACAGTCCCAAAGAAATCAATCTCAGTCTAAAGAAAATCAGACAAATGTTTTTAATGATACTAATTATTCTATTCCATTCCTAGTTTTGTTTGTTTTCATGAGCATCTGCTATGTGGGAACACATTTTGTTTTCGTTGTTTTTTTTTAACAGGCAGATGTTTGTATTTTTTAGTCTAGTAGTTGGAGGAGCTATTAGAGGCAATGAGAATGGCAACAGGAGGAAGTTTGCCAAAATGTCTTGGTTAAGCTGAATTTCCAAGAAACTATCTGTGAAACAGATTTTACTCTATTTATCCAAGAAGATTACTTAAGAACACCTCGTTGTTACTCTTTGCCATATAATCACTCTGCCTGTGAAGTAGATAAAATGTGTTGCCCTTTTTTGAAAAAGAAAGAGGTTAACAGAGATAAATCTAATTTCTGGGAGCTTGTGCAATTTCTTTTCAGAGTCTTTCTTTCGTATTTCTGTTTTCTCTTCCTTCACTTATACCCATCTATAAATCCTCTTTTCTTTTTATTCTGACACAAAGCCTTTAGGAGCCTCAGATTCAATGTGTATTACGATACCATGTTCGAGTTCACACCCAGGCTATCAAAGGTCCCAGAATCTTCTCATCGCTCCTGAATTCACATGAAAATATGCATTCAGAGGTCCTGTTTTGAGGGCTATTTTGAAATGTTGATGTATTAAACCTAAAACAATTCAGCATAAAATAAAAATACTGTGCAAATTTATAAACAATATTAAAATATATTCTAATATTGACTAGAAGGAGCTGCTGACAAGTTTATAAGAAAAATAAATACAAAACCCTTGATATTGGGAATTATACACATTCAGTCTCAGGAGTATTGTCTTAAATAACAAAAAAACAAACATGCAGAAAAGAGATTAATATGATTAACTATATTAAAATATAACTCCATTTTATGGTATATAAGATCATATACAGAGTTTAAAATTAAGTGGTAGACCAAGAACCGATATTTGCAATGTATACAACACATAAAATAGATAAAATTTTTATTAATAGACATATAATTAATGCAAATATTAATGAGTTAATATCTAGTCTAGATGTAAATTTTCAGAAATTTAAAAGTAAAATATATATAATCTGGAGGAAAAATAGATAAAAGTGAGAAACAGGACATTCACAGAATAAGTAAATGAATGGTCAATAAATATAAAGAGGTGCTTAATCTCACTATTGATTAGAGGCACTAACAATAAATTACCTGTTTTTACCCAAATAAACTTGAAAACAAAAGTTAAATAAAATGTAGAGACAGGAAGGCTGTGGTAAAAACATTCCCAAACACTGCGGGTGCTAATGTAAGTAATTCAATCATAATGAAGAGTGATGAGGCAGTTTTAGTTAAAGGAGACATACTCCCCAATAATCCACCCACGCTAACTCTAGAATTTTTTTGCACTGGTATATGGGAAAATATATACAAGAATATACATTGTGTCATTGGTTATAGAATTAAAATATGGAAATAAAAATGTTGTTATAATGGATGGGTAAATGTAGTGTAGTTACAAGAATGTGTACTATATGAGAGTTAAAAGAAAGTACTTCTATAATTAGCCATATGGATAACATTCAAAATAAAGTGTTTAGTACAGACAAGTTCAAAATATACTTAAATTTTGATAACATTCATTATAATTTAGAAAAGTACATTTGAGACATCACATTATATTTATGTGTGTGTATGTGTGTTCATGTAGAGGTAAGGAAGAGTATACTATAAATACCTAATAGGGGCTCCAAGGGGCTGGGTAGTAAGCCTGGGAATAGGAAAAGAAGGAGATTGGAGAAAAAGATAGTTATAATGTGCCATTAAATGAGGCGTTTCAGTGCAAATCTGATAGATATTTGTATCCATTAGTATAGTATTAGCATTAGTATTATTTTGGAAAATGTTACCTTTGTTTAATAAGTGGGCCTTCAGAGTTACTGAAAGAGCTCTGAAAATAAAATAATTGGAGAACTATTCTTGAAGAATACGAAGATGAATTGGTACCTACCCCAAGGAATCTGCTGTCTTTTAAGAGGCTAAGAAAAGCACATATTAAGGAGTTCATAAGACACAGCAAAGAAGAGAAAAAGTGGACTTTGGTAGTTCAAATGAAGAAACCATCACAACTACTGGGAGAGAAGGTCTTGGAAGGATTTCACTTATAAGTCAGTTATTCATGATGAGCACGAGATAAAATTTCGAAAGAAGTTAATGCTCCGTACACTAAGAAAAAAATATTTAAAAGGGAGGTATAGCATTAAAATACAAGAAAAGTGTGCTGTAAATTAAATTTACAAAGTTTTAGACACTGCACAAGCCGCATAACAGATTTTCAACATTGTCGCCAGCCCATGGAACAATTTAGTTTTCATCAGCTAACTGATTTGCTTTGTGTTAGGGCTGAGAGAGGGACAGCTTTACAGATAAGACTTTCACACAAAATATTTCTCCTTTTTGGATATTCAAGTTTGCTCATTCTAGAAATAAACCAGAAGAGAAGCCCAAATATGGTCTCTGTATTAGCTTTTCCAGATTCTAAATGTCAATAATGATTGCAAAAGAACCACACAGTAACTTCAGAGAAGGATGTGAAATGTGCCTCTCAACGCATTTACTGTCAGTAAAGGAATTAGTTAAAAATCTTGGATTTTTTATAGACTACTAGTGAAGTATAATGTCTGATTTACTCGGTTTATATAGTAACTACAAAAATATCATATTCAAGAAACGCTAACTGAATATTCCTGCAAATTCTGAATTTATAAGTTTGTATTGGATGTGTACATGACAGAGAAAACTATAATGAGAAGTGAAAGAAGCATCTATTACATCAAACATAGCCCTTTTCAATCACTATTTTCTTCCCCTGCTTAATTTTTCTTCCCCATTACTCTCTATTCTCCTATCTTGCTTTGCTTTTCTTCCACTCATCACCACTTACAATTGTTAGTGTCTGTCTTCCCTGCCCACTGCCCCGCCCCCATAGAATATAATCTCCATGAAAGCAAAGACTTCATTTTATTCAATGCTGTTGCCATCACTCATACTAGAGGTTCGATAAATATACGGGACACCTTGAATGTGTCAGGCATTATCCTCAGCGTTGGTGACATGGTGCAGAATAAAAAAAATACAGTCCTTGCTTTCATGGAATTTACTTTTTTTGAGGGTAGAAATAAGTTATCAAACAAACACGAACATTTCTGAAAGTGATAAGTGCTAAAAAAAACAAAACATAAAACAAGGTGATGTAACAGAATACTTCGATTAAGGAGTAACATTATGACATTTGAGAATGATTTACATTTACAATTCACTTACATTTGTAAAAAGCCAAGAAATAAATGGAGTCAAAATGGCATTAATAGCTTAGTCAAGGACATATATAAAAATAGCAAAATACTCAGATTGTTCTGACATTGAACATCCCTCTCCACTATTGGTCTGTGTGAACACATTTAAAGGAAAGACCAGCCAGTTGCATCAAGAGGGAAAAAAGTGAAGTGAAACACAGAAAGTCAAGAAATCTTAAAAAAAATTTTTTTCTAGCAGTTTAGTTCTACAAGTCACTTTTGAGTGAAATTTGGTTAACACTAAAACATTGTGTCAGGAAGAAAAATGCTCTTTCCCTAATGTATTAAATGTTCTATTCCTATGTATAGGTAAAGTACCTTATAGAGGGAAGGACGTTTTTACTATAGGAGTAGATCATTCAAGTAGTTTCCCAATGTCCTAGTGTAGACACTTGGTCATAGTAAAGACAATCCCAGGTTCTCGTGTCTTTATGCTTATTTGAATAATGTTCATAAAATCAAATTCCTCTCTGTTGTGTATTGGTTTCTTAAGATTTCAAATCCACTTGCTTATGGCTTAAGTAAAGTCATTTTGATCTAAGGGTGAATTTGTTTACACTGAGGAAGCTGTGCCAGGTTGTTATCATCGACATCTGTTGTTGTTGATAAGCACTCAGTAACTCAGCCGTTGATGGGTGCTGCTGGGGACTTATCCATAAGAAGATGTGGAAAAGCAGCTATGAAGTAATGGACCTTTAAACTTTGAATACCAGGAGCTCGTGAGGACCTACCAAGGGTGTTCCATCTGGGCAAGGCTACTCTTTGCTGATCTGAAGAGCTCTCGGAAGACTTTGGGGCATGCGTACCTGCCATGGCAAGGTGACTCTTTGCCAGCAGTGGTGAAAACCAAGCAATGGCCCCATGAAGGCATCTTGCAGG